GGAAGAGGAAGAGGAAGAGGAAGAGATTGGATTTATACCCTGCCCTTCACTTGGAGTCTCAGAGCGGCTTACAAACTCCTTTCCCTTCCCCTCCCCACAACAGACACCCTGTGAGGTGGGTGGGGCTGAGAGAACTCTGACACAAACTGCTCTTTTTCAAGGACAGCTGTGCCAGAGCTTGTGACTGACCCAAGGTCACATCAGCAGGTGCAAGTGGAGGAGTGGGGAATCAAACCCAGTTCTCCCAGATTAGAGTCCGCACACTTAACCACTACACCAAACTGGATCTCCTCTCAAACAAGGAATCATGCAGACACTTCGCCCCAGTGAGTAGCTTGTGTGAACAGTCAGTTTTCTTTTTCTGTTACGATAACATGTGAGTGGGCTTTCTGTCACTTCTTACCATCATACCACTGATAACAAAATGACAGCTGAGACATGTGAGAGTAGGTGATACGAATATCCAGATCCTTCAAGATGGATGAAAGAAGTACTAAAGAGCACCATACCATGTAATTATACTGAACAGGATATGTCACCCGAAAAAAATTATCAGGACAGTAATATCAATAGAAGTGATGATGATTAGAACAAAAAATGCATTAACGATCTCTTGCTACTCATAGTTTTAGTTTGTTCCAATCCCCAAACCCTATAGGTGTGTAGTTTAGAAAAGCAATTAAAATGTTTAAGAAAAGAAAAGAAAATGCATTGACAAGTGCTAAATGCATACTCAAAAAAGAGCCCATCACAAACAACAAGATAGGCATCTGGTGTCCTGTCCTGTCTCAAAGTATATCTTCATCATTAAAAGGGGTGGGCAAATTCTTAGAGGACTGGGCTAGGAGTGGCTGCTAATCACAATGGAGATCTAGTCCCTCCAGTACCAGGGGTGGTATGCCTCTTTAAATCAGGTACTGGAGAGCATAGGTAGGATAATGCTGTTGCAATCTTCCGGTTCACAGGCTTCCTGTGGTTGGCCACTATGTGAATGGAATGCTGGACTAGATGGGCTTTGGTCTGATCTAGCATAGCTCTTCTTCTATGTTCTTTTCAGAAGAATGCAGGATGGGAAACCACCAAATGGATGCTCAAGCAATGACTTTCCTTTGCCAGACAGTGAGCAAAACAACTATAAGAAGGTCAGGCTGTCTCTCATATGATCAAAGTCTAACCATTGGAGCCTAGCTTCATTAGCCTTAATGTTATTAAGAGAACTTGTCTGCTGCAGCTGATTCTTCACTGGTATTGTTTCAGGCCCTTCAAGATAACAACATTCTGTAGTCTGGGCCAATTAATAGCAGACATAGCCACGTCCTCCCAGTCCAGCTCTGATTCCAGCTTTTCGAAATCTGGGTTGCAAGGGTGGTGGTAGTAACACTTGGCTCTACCACATGGGCCCATTCTGCATCTAGCATTTGCTCTGTTGTTTTACCAAACCCACACTGGAACAGAAAAAGATGCTGCTTAAAACCACATTCAAATACCCTGGGCCAAGTAAAACAGCGGAGCAAATGCTAGATGCTTTAGCCCTCCATCTCTGTAGAGAAAAGAATCCATGAGGCTCACTCTGGAGGACCCTGCAGCTGGGCAATTTATGTGAGAAGTTTTCACATGATGTTTGGGTTGGGTTTAGTTGATCCTGCTTTTCTGGAGCTGCCAATAGAGGCTAGGCTGTGCAGAAAGCAAAGGGTGGTTTTGTTTTTGTCCTCTTGCTTCTCCAGCCTGCAAGCAGCCAGAAAGGGTGGGGGGAGCTTCTTTTGGAGGGCAGATTTGGAATTTTCTTCATTAGTGCTGTTATTTAAACTGTAAATAGTACTTTTTAAACAAAAAGTTTTTTAAAATGTAAATCTATGGGTAGAAGAGTCCGTCTTAGAGGAGGCATTCCTCACAGGACAGAGTTCCTCTTTGGGGCAGAGATGGGTGCATCCTCTACAACTAACTAAGGTGGTTCCTTCTTTTTCGGTTGTCTTATAATCAACTCCTACCCTCGGGACAGTTTTATCAACATCTTTTTAGTCTATTCTGTTTGTTTTATGTGCTTTTCTGCCTTGGTTTGTTTGTACTAATAAATAGTGTTGATTATTTATTGATTTTATTTTAATGATTTTGTTTTTACTGATGTTTTTAAGATTTTTTTTACTCTGATTTGCTTTATTTTACTGTTTTAGAGCCAGCCTGGTATAGTGGTTAGAGTGTCAGACTAGGATCTGGGGGACCCAGGTTCTAATCCCCTACTCTTCCATGGAAGCGCGCTGGGTGAATTTGGGCCCATCACACACTATCAGCATAACCTACCTCACAGGGGTTTCGTGATAATAAAATGAAGGAAAGAAGAGGATTATAAATCTCTTTGGGTCCTCATTTGAAAAGAAAGATAGGGTGTAAGTGAGATATAAATAAATAAAAAATCCAGTGCGCCACCTCAAGCAAGCCTGGAGAGGTGGCATACAACCTTTCTTTTCTTTTTTGAAATTTATTTTCATTTTTCACTATAACAAAAGTTCATATCATATCACTTTCACTTTCGGTTACAACTTATAATATCCATTACGTCTTTCACATTTAACAACTTTTATATCATACTAGCAAAAATTCAGTTTTGATTTATCTTTTTCATCTTCAGCCAGTCATAAAATAATTTCCATCTGTCCCAAAAAAGTTCCTCTGGTTTATTTTGTAGTGTTGTATTTAGCTTATCCATTTCAGCTATCCCCATCACCATATTTTTAAGTTCTATTATAGATGGTATTCTTTTCGATTTCCAACGTCTTGCTATCAGGATTCTGGCTGCCGTTAGGATATATACAATTATCTGTGTATGTGCTTTAATGTCTTCCGGTAACATATTTAGTAGCCAAATTTCTGGTTCTAGGGGGATATTTATTTTTGTAACGTCCAGGAGGATTTTTGCAATTTTTCTCCAAAATTTCTGGATTTTGTCACATCTCCACCATATGTGGAGGTATGATCCTACGTTCTTCCCACACCTCCAACAGATGTTGGGTGCTTTGGGAAGAATTTGACAGGTGGCATACAATTTTTCAAAATACGTACATAAAACTAAAGACTTGTTCAAAAGTTTATTCATATAAAGATGCTTTATTCATATTCAAATATATGCAGATTTAATTGTGCCTCAGTGGTACAGCATCTGCCTAGCAAGCAAACGGTCCCAGGTTCAGTCTCTGGCAACTGCTGTTAAAAGAATAAGGTAGTTAGTAGTCCGAAAGACCTCTGCCTGAGACCCTGGAGAGCCGCTGCCAGTCCGTGTGAATAATACCGATTTTGATGGACTGATGGGCTGATTCAGTATAAGGCAGCTTCATGTATACGTACATAAAACTAAAGACTTGTTCAAAAGTTTATTCATATAAAGATGCTTTATTCATATTCAAATATATGCAGATTTAATTGTGCCTCAGTGGTACAGCATCTGCCTAGCAAGCAAACGGTCCCAGGTTCAGTCTCTGGCAACTGCTGTTAAAAGAATAAGGTAGTTAGTAGTCCGAAAGACCTCTGCCTGAGACCCTGGAGAGCCGCTGCCAGTCCGTGTGAATGATACCAATTTTGATGGACTGATGGGTTGATTCAGTATACGGCAGCTATATGTGTTCGTATCAACTAAGGTTTTTTTAGTCGAGTTATGGCCCAGTTTAGATAGATTAAAAAAAATTGTCTACTGCTTATTGAAATACAGTGTCTATTTGGGGGGAAGTATTTTTGCATTGTGTGTGAGTGTGTGTGTATGTGCATGTGTGTATGTGTGTGTGTGTGTGTGCTCGTGCCTGGAAGTCTTGACAACCTCTGGCCTCTGCCACTAGGGCATTGTGGACGTTCAGAGAAGTGGCTTGATAACCTGCCTCTGCCTTCGCGCTGGTATTCTTTGGAGTTCTCCATCCAAATACTTGCCAGGGTCAGCCCTGCTTGGCTTCCAAGATCTGATGAGATCGTGCTTGCCTGGGCTGTCTGGGTCAGGGTGAAATGCAGTGTCTATTGCTTACAGAGAGCAGCGTTCAAAAACAAAACTGATGCACATCGAGGTCTAAGGGAGAAGGGGAAAAAAAGAATGATCAGCTGCTTCTATCAGACGCCTGTTTTTCAGAGGCATCTGTCCTTTAGCTGCATGACAGCCGTATGACTTCAGGTCCTTTTCACTTCAGTTCTGCAGGGGCATGCTCCATCTTTCATTGCATACAATGCTAGCCACCATCAAAGAAAGGATCTTGACCTAGGGGGAGGAAGAATATGGCAGTTATTCCATAGGTCCAGTGCTCCTGTGACTTATTGTAGATATTGCCGGATACAGTGATGGCTTCACTACAATCCTCGTGGCAGCGTTGAAGCACCTGGGGTCATTCTAGGCTGCAGGAATTTTAGAGGTCATGAAGGGATGCATGTTCTTCATTATAAAATATGCTTTTGACTGTGCTGATATTGGATGACACACAGAGGTCATTTCGGGGGGGAACGCGGGGGATCGCAGTTCCCCCGGGTTAGGTACGGGG